GGGGGGGGGGGAAGAACTTCCGGTTAAGGACTTTAGCTTTCTCTACGTGTATAGTTACCGGGTAATCGCTATTATCTTAGTATAGTAGTGGTATTAACAGCGGGTCCGGTAATACGCCCCATTTATTACGGGTTAACCCCGATATAGAGGATCCGGCTATGCTCCGGATCTTTCTAACTACACGCTTAGTTAATAGACCTATATCGCTAAGTTATCGCTACCTTATAGCTAGCCTAACGCGATAGACTTTTCTCCTTTTTCCTTCTTCCTTCCTTAGTTCTAGATAATCTATTATTACGACCTTACTTAGTATCACGACCTATAACCAGTTATTTATATATTTAGAACTTAGCGATACCTACGCGCTACGCTAGCGATAAATCAGGATTCTAACACTACCGCCTAATAACCTATTAGAATTAAATAGATTATAGAGTAGATAAACTAACGGTTCGAAGAAAATAACCGAGCCCTAAATATAAGGCTAAGCCTTCTCTATAAATAATATACCGATATTAACTTAAGGCTTACTCCGATATAAGAATACTACTCGGAAATACGCTAGTTTCTAGACCGATAACACGTAAGAGAAAAAGCCGATAAGCGATAACGCTAGTTAGTCGAATAGCTTATAGCCCGGCTCGTAGGATCGCTTACCCCGTAAAACCTAATACCGTTTAACCTAAATATTCCGGCTCCTTTATAGACCCCGATAATGCTTATACTAATAAAGTCTACCCTATTACTGGTTTTATCGCTAACGCTATAGCTAATAATAATAGTAGTCGCCCCGACCTTAACGGCGATACCCTATAAGATTATCGATAGCCCGGTAAAGTTCTTAGGGAAACGAGTATACTATAACGCGTAGGCCTACACGATACGGTAGAAGCTTATAATCGATAGTAACTTATTCTAGAATAATATATAAGCTCAGTATATAATCTATAATTACCTAGGGCCCGAAGTATAATAAGTCGTATCGGCCTTCTATAAAAGTAATAGGCCGGGTAAGCTTATAGACCCTAACGACTTTATAGCGT